GTCCTTCTTGGGACCCTGACATTCAGTAGCTCTATGACCACGTTTGCCACAATTGAAGCAGTTTCCATTGAATTTCTTCTTAGGAGGATTGCGCTTTGGACCAGATGTTTTCTTTTTTTTCTTTGATTTTGTGGGAACTTCTTCAACAATATTTACTCCAGATATTGTTGAATTACCACGTGACCTCTTTTCTGTGGCCTTGTTATCTTCTTCGATTCTCAATCTTACCATGAGATCTTCAATAGTCATGTCCTTGTGTTTATGTTTCAAGTAGTTTTTGAAGTCCTTCCATAACAGAGGTAACTTTTCAATAATGGCCGCCACTTGAAAAACATTATTCACAATCAATCCTGCATTTAAGATTATGTAAGTATAAATAATAGACTTATTATGTTCAACATAGGCATTAAATAAATTTATACCTTCAGCAAGGAGATCATGGATTATGACCTAAAGTTCTTGAACTTGGGTGACGACGATCTTACTGTCTATCATCTTATAGTCCAAAAACTTTGCCACAATGAACTTCTTCATTCCGACATCCTCTGTTTTGTACTTCTTTTCTAAAGCATCCCATAGTTCCTTTGAGGTCTTGACACTATTGTACACATTGTACAGATCATCTTGCAAGACACTCAGAATATAATTTTTATACAAAAAATTTGAATGTGTCCATGCTTTTGTTACCAATAATCGTTCTTCGGTCAGAGTTTCAACCGATATGATAGGAACGTTCTCATTAATGAACCTCTGCAGACTCAACGTAGTCAGATAGAAGAACATTTTCTGCTGCCATCTCTTGAAGTCGACTCTAGAAAACTTTGCAGGTTTCTCAGCCGATGCAAGGGCAGCAGTTGAACGATTTTGTGCAACCGATGTTGTTGCAGCACTCACTGTTCCATTATTTACTTGACTTGAATTTGTCATTTTTCTGTCACAAATGGCAGACAATTTTAGTATGTGAAATACTAACAATAAAGAATAATTCCTTACACAACTTGTTTCCAATTTAACGATAAAGTTTTTATGTTCTTTTAATCGTTAATCGAATGAATTTTAGAAATTCAAATAGAGTAGAAAATCATAAAGGTTTTAATCTCTAGAAACCTCAAATACAGAAACTATTTAAATTTCTTAAGATTGTTATCTCATGTATTCAGGTTAGTCAAAAACAAAAACAGAAAAAAGATGAAACAGATAGACAGAAAAATAAAATCCGAGTTCACAGAACCCATTGTGTTTCCTTAAGAAATTCAATCCCCTCAAGTACCCGAGGTTACAGATTAATTCCTCCCAAGATAAAACGGATTAACTATTAGAGAAGTAGCGGTACCTCAAACTTCACTAATTTCAGCAAACGCAAGAACAACAACGAGAGCACACACAGACTCAGTCGATCGACAATTTTGTTTTTGTAAGTAAATGTATGCAGAGAGGAAAAAAAATTCAGTGTTTAAAAACGGAAAAAGACTCTATATTTATAGCCATTTGCAGCAAGGAACGCGTCTGTTCAGACAAATTTGTTCAAACATGTCTTTCCAGAACGTTGTGTCTTTTTGAAAAAAATAACGTCTTTTCGGAAGGAACAGATCCCTTCAAATGAATTTACCATTACGCAGAATTTCAAATAATTCTGTTACGCAAAATTAATTTTGTTAATTAACTAATATTATGAATTAATTTATAAGAGAAAGGAAATAAATTAATGAGATTGATTAAATAAATTTTGTCCAAAAATACTATCAATCAATCATTTGCCAAATCCAAATCCAAAGCCGAGTGACGACGACGGCGTGAGGGGCACCTTCTTCTTAACCCTTTAAGAACTAAAGGAAGTGTTTCTTAATATAAGGACAATTATTTTCATTTCTTCTACCAATATGGGAGAAATGATTTTTCATCTTCAAAGAATGGCTTTTCATTTTTCCTTCAAATTGGTTCCCCACATTTTTCATTTTCTCTTCTTACTTTCCATTCACACCTTGCTAAAACCAACAACTAACTCTTAGCTCCACTGTTCATATAACATCCTTTTATTTAGATTATTATTATTGTTATCGCTAATGATAGGAATATAAATATTGTTTTAATTATTTTTAAGTTCCACTGAAGAAGATATTGAATACTAATTATTAGGATGGTGGCACTTATTCAGAGTAGGAAAATTTAATTATTTTTTTTACAAATAAGTATTTTTTTCTATTAAATTCGTAAGTGACTATAAAAATTATTTTCTTGCGAATTTGTGGTATGTTAGTTGGCGTTTTGTTTTCTTTCTCCTTTGATAGCACAAGGGATGAGTCAGGTTAGTTCCTCTGTCCTTCTCTAATTTTTTATTCAGTGGAAGACAATAGTATACTAGTACAATATTCTCTTAGAATTATTTTTTTATCTCACAATAAAGAACAGTAAAAATGTTTGTAACTTTTTAACTTCTTAATTAACGGGAAACAAGGTTACTTTTAAGTTTTAACACAAAGAGGACAATACATAGTAATCTATTACTGTAAATTGTTTAGTGTAAGGTATAAAATATACTAATTTTAGAAATAAAATACAAAAATATTTTATTCTGCCTTTGATTGAAAATATTAAGCAGTCTTAATTCCATCATTTCTTTGATGATGCGCCGCTCCAATGCTTCCCCTACTCCGTTTTCTTGTTCTTCTTCAACCTTTCAGATTTTACGAAACGAAATTATTGATATTGAAGTGAGTTATTCTTCATTCTCTCCCGATTTTTGTATTATTTTTTTGGATTATGTATTTTTAATTTTTCTATTTTCTTTTATTGTTGCATCTAGGAATTTACAAGTTGTCAACGACCATTGGACACCCTAAAAAGATACTGCCTAATTGGTTGCATCCTTTGAATTTGTTTAGTTTAAGTTTCTTCGATAGCAATGGTATCAGTTCAACAACTAGATGCAGGAAAATAATGAACAATTTTTAGTTTCTTCTTCATTCTCTCTCGATTTTTGCATTTTCTTTTTGAATTATGTATTTTTTTGTGTGTTTTATTTTGTTGTTGTAGTATTGTTTTCTGTATCTTTTTCGGATTATATATCAAATAGTCTTTATATATATATATATATATATATATATATATATATATATTTGTAATATATAATTTGATTGTGTATAACATATATTTGTCATCTATCATAAGATTAGAGAAGTAGTTATTCTCAATTTTCTTATCAATTTTCATCTTTAGATCATTTGCACCATGTCAGAAATTAATTTGGGACAAATTAATGCTAAGTGGAATGATGATGCTCATCTCAAATTTGTAGAGTTATGTAAATTAGAGATTATGAAATGAAATAGACCAAAACGCTCATTTATATAAAGATGGAGGAAAAATATGACCAATGAGTTCAATAAAAAGACGGAAAGACTATAATTTTTTTTTTATCGAAATAGCTTGAACGCCGAGTGGACTCTTTTTAAGCAATTGATGAGAGGGGATACATATAGGATGTGATGCCACCAAAAATACAATTATGGCAGATGATGATTAGTGAAAGCAAAAAATTAAGGTACATTTATCATAATGTTCTATATGTCTTTCTTATTTCATTCATTGTTGAATTTTAATTTACCTAAATTTGTATCTTATCTTTTTTTACAGGTTGATGTTCGATATAAAAAATTTAGAAATAAAGATTTTTCACTCATATGATTTTGCTATGATGCATTATTTTCTGATATTGTTGCTACGGAAGAACACGTGTCGCAAATCAAGAACATTTTTTTGAAAAACTGGGTAAATTTTAGAGAAGAAAGAATTAATGTTATTGATGATGATGGTAGGAAACACTTTATTAATCCTAATGATGAAAATGGTAATGAAGTGATGATCATCCACAAGATATGAATTCTACTATGTTTCCTAAGCTAGCACTAAAAAGACAAATTTCAACTGATGGTATTAGAACTAGTAATCAAGTGAAAAAGTAATAGAAAATCTATTGTTGCATTAATGAAAGAGAATATGTGTGCATATAAAATAAGTTGTGCATATAAAATTAACTTAAACAATAAATTTATATTCCTCTATAAATAATTTGTGATGATAAAGAAATATGCAAATAATAGGCAAATATTATTACTTGTGAATGTAATTAAAAATGAATCTTACATCTTTCATGTGATCTATTCAAATTATATATTTTAAAATTTTAAAATAAATTGTGCATATAAAACTAACTTAAATAATAAGTTCTTGAAATTGAATTAAAATATAAATTAATTTTTTTTTAGAAATTAAAAATCTAAAATTAATCGACTTTTTATAATGTTATCAGCTTTGAGAGTATTTCAGACATTTTGATAAAAAAAGATATTTAACGGCACTTATTTGCTAAACACATTAATAACTTTCTTTCAACTGCAATACTTCTATTCAAACACATAATTATTTATTTTTAAAATTATTTTTAATATTTCAAAAAAATTACTTTTGTTAAATCAATTCAAATGGGCTCAAGTGACTATAAAAATCATTGAGATTTTGTGGTATTGCTGATCATAAGAGCTAGTATGATTTTCTAATGCTGTTGAGTAACTGATATATCTAGTTGGTGTTTTGTTTTCTTTCTCCTTGATAGCACATGGGATGAGTCAGGTTAGTTCCTCTGTCTTGTCTAATTTTTATTCACTGGAAGACAATAGTAAGTACAATATTCTCTTAACATTATATTTTAATCTCACAATCAACAACAGTGAATCGTTTTGTGTGTGATATAAGATATACTAGTTTTTTATTCCATCATTTATACCTTCATGGTAAAGTAACTTATTTCAAAATAACTTATCAGCATACTTTTTTTTCAAGTCCATCTACAACATTTATACTTTTTTTAACTTAAAAATTTCTCTTTTATTGAATGAAGTAGATTTGTAAGCACACATATTCCAAAATTGTTTTGAATCACAATTTCAAAATATTATTTTTTAAATTTTGTATCAAATCAAAGAATAACTCCAAAAAAGATGGGCAAAGTAGTGAGCAGTCTCATTGATAACAATATTTGAATAAAAAATTACAGCCTCTTTTCTCTACTCTCTAGATATACAAAAGGGAAAAATCTAAAAAGATAGAGAGTAGGCCCCCTTCTACACCACTAATTAATAAACTGTTTCCACCTCCTCTTAAAGGGGAACTTTTTCATGACAAAATAAAAAGTAGATGTTAAAAACAAGAAACCACAAAACCAAAAAAAGAAGAAGTGGAAGTTGTGTCCACATAATTCCCCCCTTACCAACCCAAAATTCTATTCAATTAGGCAAATGAGCTTAATTGTCCCTTATACACCCCCCTACCCTTCTTTCATTCTTGTTTCTTTTAGGCCCTTAGGCATACCAACAAGGTTGTAAACAAAAGGGTCATGGTGAAAAACACAGTGTTTTGATGAATAATAGTACCACCATTTATGTCTGTGTTGGTCATGCCACTTGGTCCAAGTCCAAAAACTGGATTAGTCCCTGGTAATGTTGTGCCACTTCCACTGCCAGTGCTAGTGCCTCCTGTTGATGGACTTGTAGTTCCTGGTACAGTTGTTGGACTTGTGTTTCTGGTAAACAAATGAATAAAGGATATCAAGAGCCATATCGAACCGATTAACCAATATACAATACTATGCTCCATCCATATTATCTGTCTTATAAGATTTTTGAATGCACACCCTTTAAGGAGACATTCAACATAGATTATTTGTTTGAACTATCTTTATCTCATTAAAAACTTCACAAAATTAACTAACAACTAATTGGAATTGAAGGAAAGATTCAAGAAACAAAGGTACAATACATACGCGATTCATTTAATTTGACATCAGTTGACATCTATGTCCTCCAACTATAGGTGTCCACTAATAGACACTAAACATGTATAAGGTTGAATAAGTAGACACATGTGTCCGACATGAATTGCCACATAGGACGTCGCGTAGGATACATGTGTCTACTTGTACAACTTTAAACAAGTTTTAAGTGTCTACTTGTGGACGCCCAAAGTTGGAAGACATAAATATCAGCTGAGACCAAGTTAAAGAGCATGTTTATGTATGTATTATGTCAATAAATGTCTCCGCAAGCTTGCCAAAAATATTTGGAACAAGAGGGAGTATTATTAGTACACGAAAACGTCATGAGGGAAACAAGTAGCATGACAAATAAATGAATGAACTAATAGGACTAAAAAATGTTGGTACATGAAGCAAGTAAGCATGACACAAACTAATGAACTAACATGATTAAAAAATGTTACATGATGGTAGGATACACCTGAAATTTTCGTCATAGCAAAGAAAAAAAGGTACACATTGAGCATTAACAGACATAAGATATCAAGACAGCTCACAAAAGCACATGATGAAGACACAAACTCACCAAATTTGGTAGTGAGTAGTGACAATATACAGCTATTGGAAGTTTATGGTAAAATAAAGTGTTGGACTAGAAAAAGCACCAACAATCATAGAACAACCGACCATTGAAGTCATAATCAAGTGAATTTATTCTTTAAGGGATTGTTTAGTAATTGATTAGATTCATGCAAATATTAACTATGCGGGTATTAATTATTCAATCTTCTACTCCGTATAAAATCAGAGGTGGAGCCACAATTTAAAGTTTGTGGGGTATGAGGTTCTTTAGACAAATATAGAATTTAGATCAAAGTTGTTGTACTTATTATTAGTACATTGGCTTTGCCCTTGTATAAAATAGTACACAAATTCACTCACAACTTATACATCTACTTATTAGTTATGTGGGTTTCTAAAGTGCAAATTAAACATCGTACTCCATCTGTTGTTTCAAAACGAATGAACTAGTTTGACTTGACATAGAGTATAAAAAATAAATAAGATTTATTAATGTTGTGGTCTTATATTAAAGTTATGTCAAATGTATCAAAATGTCTTTTAATCTTGTGGTCTTAAACATGTCCCATGAAAAGTTGAAACTAAAGTGTTACCAAAAAAGAAAATGAGTGATTCTTTTTTAAACAGACTTAGAAAAAGTAGGTCATTCCTTTTTAAATGGGGTATATTACTTTTATACACGAATAACTTACTTCCCTAATTTTGCTATCAAATGTTACAGAACTTATACATAAATTTAACACATGATCATAAGTTGTCTCTATACTAGCTACGACCCTTATGTATTTGTCGGTGGGGAGTTTGAACAAAGGCATTTGAGGAAAATAGTGTGGGTTTAAACATCATGTTAACACTCTCTTGATCTATGGATTGTTTTAGCCCAACAACATTTCCATACCCAAAGACACACTTTTAACTTCCTTCACCAACCCTTTACCTTCAAAAACACACAACTTGTAATTGACACAAGAAAAAAAAAGAGTGCAACCTTTTCTCTAAGATCAAAAGGTAAATGAGCTTTAAATTGAAGCTATCATCATCACACAACCAAGAGTGACACTAAGAATCTTTCCTTTACTTTTAAGGTAAAACTTTAAGTAGAATCTAATGCAATGCTAGATCTAACATAACATATTATAACACAAGTTTAGAAAACATACCCTGCAGTGGACTGATATACACATCCAGAACCAGTAGCTGATGATCAAAAACAAAACAAAAAAAATTAACAATAAATCTTTGAAAGTGACAAAATGAATATATAGATTAGTGTATAAATGAGGAAACTTTACAAGCTGGTGCAGTTGGTGTCAAAGTTGCAGTTCCTTTAAAGTCACAGCTAGCACCAGATGCACCTTTTCTTTGATAATAGCTATTTACAGCATAGTTGCAATGATCTTTGACACTGTCAGGGTTGAAACAAGCACCATTAGTATGGATAGCTGTGCAATCAGCTCCAGATCCACAGGCATAATCTATGTTCTCCTGAAGAATTTTTACATCTTCACCATCTTTGCAAATACAGTAACTAGCACCTGTAGAAACAAAATCCACAAGAAAATCAGCTCAAACAAGTAAATCTCATTGTGTTTTTCCTATTAAAGGGAAAAAGACTGAATCTTTGAACTTAATAGAATCAAGAACATCTTTGAGAGCAAAATAAAGTGAAACTCCATATCAAGAAAAATATGAAAAATGCAGAAAACAGAGAAAATATGAAGATAAAAGGGAAAAAGATTGAATCTTTGAACTCAAAAGAATCAAGAACATCTATAAGAGCATAATATAGTGAAACCCCATCTCAAGAAAAACATGAAAAATGCAGAAAACAAAGAGAATATGAGGGAAAAAGATTGAATCTTTGAAATTGATATTATCAAGAACATCCTTAAAAGCAAACTATGGTGAAACCCCATTTGAAGATAATAATGAAAATGCAGAAATCTTGAAGGCAAAGGGAAAAGACTGAATCTTTGAACTTGGTTGAATCAAGAACATCCTCAAGGGAAACATTTAGTGAAGCCCCATCTCAAGAAAAATATGAAAACTTGAAGACCAAGGGGAAAAGACTGAATCTTTGAACTTAATAGAATCAAGAACATACTTAAGAGCAAAATAGTGGAACCCCATCTCAATAAAAATATGAAAACTGCAGAATACTTGAAGGCAAAGAGAAAAAGACTGAATCTTTGAACTTAGTAGTATCAAGAACATCCTTAAGAACAATATATAGTGAAACCCCATCTCAAGAAACACAGATAACAAAGAAAGCTTGAGGGCAAAGTGAAAAGTGGCAGCTTACTTGAGTGACCAGTGATAGCCAATAAAAACACCAAAGATAACATAAAAGCAGCCATGATCGAGAAAGCAATAATGAAGAAATTGCACTTTACTTTTCAAGAGAAAAAGTTGGTTGGTTAGAGAGGAAGAAGAAGAGTGCAATGGGAAACAGAGTTTTCTAGACAACAAAAATGAGAGTGGCTACTGAAGTACAGGAGCTATATGCCTGTTATAGTGGTACTTTATATGTATGATAAGTGTAAATTTACAGTATATTTCATATATATGTGTGTATGTTTTTGTTGAGTATGGGAGACAGTGTTTTTGGAAATTGAGCAGTAAAGCTAAAGGCTTTGTCATATATAATTGACTGTACATGTACATGTGTGTGCCTATTGCCTTTCAAACGGTCATAAACTCATTCATATGGTCACTACCTAACTCAACTCTGGTTAAACAAAAAAAAATGGTACTTTCAGTAAGGTACAATAGATTAACACGTCCTTTTAACTTGACATCAATTGATAATTATGTTTTTCAACTTTAGGTGTACATAAATAGATACTAAACTTGTATAAAATTGAATAAACAGACACATGTATTCTACGTGGCGACCTACATGATATTTTCACATCTTACGTGGCGTCATATGTGTGTTGTGTCACGTAGGACACGTGTATCTACTTGTTTAACTTTATACAAGTTTAAGTGTCTACTTGTATACACCCAAAGTTGAATTGTATAGATGTCAACTGAAACCAAGTTAAATGGTGCATTTATATATTATGTCTTTTCGAAAAAGATTTCTTCTGTTCTCGTCACTTCAATTACAAGAAAAATATATTTTTATATTTAAAAAAATACTTTATGCTTTTTGTTTTCTTTAATTAAATGAGAAGTCTTTAATTATACAAGAACGTTATTACATATTTAAAAATCAAAATTTTAAAAAATAGAATAATGGAATACTACCTAACTCAACTCTGGTTAAACTTGCATTCAAAAAAAATAAAAATAAAAAATTAGGGTTTGTTGCCGAAATGGCCCAATGATAGTTTGTTTCAGCTACACTTTTTTATGGTGTGCTGTCGTTGTATTTTTGCATTCAATAAGGATATTGCAAAAAGTTTCACAGATTCTTCCCACGAATACAACTACAAGAAAAAAAAAATTAAAAAAAGGTTATAGTTATTTTTATTTTATTTTGGCTAATATTGGACTACTTATGTGCTTGGGTGGCTTTTTTTAATTAATAATTAGTTGAGTGAATGTGATTTGCAAAGTGTATACGGTTTATTACATACATTTACTTATTATTTAAAAGTAAATTTACTTTCGAAAATTTACGTGACAAAAAATAAAATAAAAATAAAACACAAGTGTCAGATAATAAAAATAAATAAATAACTAAATTAGAATTCTCCTTCCACCCCCCACCGCATAACACACACCTTTCACACCTCTTCTTCTTTACACTCTACCTATGTAAGATGTGTATGTCTATTTGTATATATCCGAAATTGAATATTTTTAAAAACTGGAATGTTTAACCAAATTATGGAGAGAAAATAAATCTTTTGAAGGAGTAGCCGAAACTATTTTTCAGAAACTAAAAGCTTGTCTAACTATTAATAATTAGTGAGTACTCATTAATTACAACTTAAAAGTATTTTTAATAAAGAAAATTTGTGTAAAATTTAAAAAATAATTAAATAGATATCAAAACGAGCAATGCAAACATCATCTTTAATAGACACAATAGGTTAAACACAAAAATAGTGCAATTTTGTCAATTAAATACAAAAATAGGTTAAACATAATTAAGGGGTAACAAGACCCACACATAGTTTAAGGTTATATAATATGAAAAAATAAAATTCATACGAGTTACGGATTTCTATAATTTAAGTATGTAATTGTAATTTTGCCATAATTCAGAAAAATTCTAATGCTTTATTCCTTTTTAATCAGACAAATATTACTGATTTATATGGAACATGATGCCTTGCTGGTTAGATCTAAGTTTGATGAACATTCTTCAATAATTGCCAATTTATATATATATATATATATATATATATATATATATATATATATCAAAGTACGTAGTTGTTTTCATGTGAACTAATGAAATAATTGGAAAGGTAAAAGAAGAACATTATTTGGACGATTCTTTGAAATATACATCTCGAATAATACACAGAGCAAAAGCTCTTTTATCATCTAGCATGCAGTCAAGCTATTAGTCTAGGGTATTTTTAAAAAAGTACGTATTATTTTTCATTCGATGTCCACTATTAATGTTGAAGTCTGATTAAATTTGAATTCATGTAAAAAAAGTCTCCTATTAAAAAATAAAATGCTCTCTACGAATGATTAAAAAATCGAGTAATCATATTCCAATTTGATTCATTGGATATGGGTCGATCATTGATTTTTTTAGAAAAGGACCAAATATATGAATATATTATTCATATTATTTACCTAAAAAATGAATATTCAGATGGATAATATAGATATCCATATTATCAATATTCATTTTTATGCTTGTTACTTTTATGAATTTTTGCTTTCTCTAGAGAGTTTTATAATGTTTTTTGGCTTTTAGCTTGTGTCTCACCAAACTATTCTTGAAACCAGGGATAATATGGTTAACTCATTTTCTAGATGTGTTAAATATGGACAAATCATATATATTTTTTCATTTTCTACCTGCTCATATTTAATATGGCCTACTCGTTTGTGACTCCTAGTATAAATCTATCTAATATTATATTTTATGCCTCCCCCACCTATATTCAATTTATAATTTTATTTTACAAAGTAAATATTGAACAGGAAAAAAGTTCCATTAACACTAGTAATAATGGTCCGAATAGACAAGAGAATTGCGACCTTTATCATTTCTATTGAATTTGTTCATTGATCATGTAGAGACAAGTACTCCTATATATATATTCTCCATTTAAAGGTGAGATATCATATCATGGTACTCTTTCTTCAATAATTTACTGAAATAATAGAATAGAAAAGATAGCTCTATAATAATATAATTAAAGATTGAAATTCCAATGGATATAAAAGCTGGTATTCGATTCCAATTGTTTATAATATTTTGCTATCACCATCAAGAATTTTTTCTACAATATATAGTGTTTTTGAACTAAAATATAAGAAGTCTAATATTTATCTAGTTACTATAGGTATAGTGGAATATCATTGAGAAATATAACGATGTGTTTGGTATGAACAAAAATATTTTGTAGAAGAAACTATTTGTGTTACTATCTACTTTAAAATTTAGAAAATTATTTTATATGGATTATGGTAGAAAAGAAAACATAAGTGAAGAAGGTTACGTTGTTTTTCCCTCTCTTAATTATAAAAAGCAATTCAAAGAAAATATTATTTGATGTTCCATTACAAAAAAAATATTTTGAGATTGCCCCGTTTGGACATGAAATTTTTCCTATCTTAAAAAAAATTAAAATATTTTAAGTTACACATTAGACTGATTTTTGGTTTAATTATTGAAAATGAGAGTTTTTCAAAATTAATTTTGACCAGTTTAATAAGTAACTTTTTTTTCTCACACAAATTAATTTATTTTAAAAATAAAATGCATATTCAAATACAACTTAACTTTCAAAAACGATTTTTCCACTTAAAATATCGAAGGTTTGTTCCCTCTAGTTCATATCAAGTGAATTGCTGAGATTTGACACACCTCTTAAAAATATTTAAGGACATAAATTACAGACAATTTTTCGATATTACCTATGTGATTATTTCCTAACTATTCAACTAGAAATTATGAAATAGCTAGTTAGGAACCTCATTTAAATGAAGAATAAATATGAAAAAAGTTTCAATAATTATCATAAATTTTAGTTAATTTAATTAGAATTCACTAAAGGAGTACCTTTTATCACATAAAAAGGGAGGAAACATGGGTGGACAATTCTCCCATTGAGCTACACCCCCACATGGCCTGGTACTAAGAAATGACAATTCAAGAATAGAAGAGAAAATTGAATGTCAAAAAGTTTTATTCCTCACTTTTGTCAAATGTTGTTGACATGTATGCTCCCTTTTAACAAAAGACGCCCTCTCTTAATGATCTTATAATCATCATGTTCAGATAATCCAATATTTTAAAGACAACCAATCAAAGAGAGTAATTTTCAGCAATACTGCTACTTAATAGGCAGAAGTGGAGCTAGATGGGTTCGTTGGTTCGAACAAATCTACTAGCTTTTTCATAGACGCTATATTTTACTATATAATAAAAGGGAGTTTATGTTCAAATATAATATATAATATTCAAGATTGGGACACTCCCTTTTAAGTGACCCAATCTTGAATATTATATATTATATTTGGGCATAAACTCCCTTTTAAAATAATATATATATCACAAATAGAAAAGTCTCAATCAAGGAAGCAACATATATAATTTACAAATGACTTAAAAAGCATTAAAAATTACAATAATTATCAATTTAAAATATTTAAAAGCTATATAATAAAATAGGTTGACTCTCAGAATTCTATCAGGCTCACATATATTGGGACAAAAAAAATAACACATATGATTTTAAAATTACCAAAAAAGTATTATAAATAATAATAATTAACAACTTAAAATATCTGAAAAACATTTTAAAAGGGTTAATTTTGTAATTTTATCCATATCACATAAATTATGACAAAGTGACCAGTAATGTACGCTATTTGAAAGTGACATAAAAATATTATAAATCACAATAATTAATAACTTAAAACATTTTTTTTTTAAAATGAAAATTTGGATGACTCTCCAAATTTCATTTGTGTCACATAAATTGAGACAACAAAAATAACATATATTGGGTCCATTTTAATTTATTTGTCTTATTTTTTTTAGTTTTTTTTTATATTTAAAAATTGCGTAAAAATACTATAAATCATGATAATTGACAACATAAAATATGTTTTGAAAAAAATACAAAAAACTCCACTGATTGTTGAAATGAATCTATCGTAAAAATACTATAAATCATGATAATTGACAACATAAAATATTTCAAAAATGTTGTATGTGGGCAGTCTTATTATGCCTTAAATAGCGTCAAAGAAAGTACAAGTTTGTGATGAAAAAACTTATTCCTTTATCCACGCAAACAATCGATTCAAAAACTCGATTATTAGCCCCAAAACATACCATTTATATTATTGG